CAGTTTCGCCCCCTCACACTTCAATTAGCCTCTTTAACTCACTCTGTTATACTTTCACTCCGTTTCTTCTTAACAATTCTGCTTTGCCGATCAGTTTCTCTTTTAGTATGTATCCGTTGTTTTAAATATTTAAAATGTTTCAGAATAAGAGTAATTAGTTATTCTTATTGATGCTGTTTGCTCGATCCTCGCTTCCCTTTTTTTTAAAGCAACCGTCAGCGTTCTGGCCAACTGACAAGAGGTTGGTTTTTTTCCGGGCTGAATTAAGGGACTTTCCTTGAACCTTCGGGGCAATTTTTGATACTCCCGAGGTCCTCAGGATTTTCCCTTTTATCTATTGACCTCTTCGTGGTCAATAGAGCTAAAAAATTCAGCTTTCAGACCGAAAATTGGGACCTAGGAACGGAGCACTGCCCCCTCGGTTCCTATCACGCTGACGTCACCCCTGATGGCCCTAAAATATACAAATATTATTATTCTTAGCTTAATCTCTAGTCATCTATTATTGGCTGTCAATTCCACAGTAGCAAAAAAAGTGACATATTTAATGTATAATTAAATATGTCACTTTTAAATTAAATAAGGGACTTTGCAAACCATGTCTGAATGAAGCAGAGAACTGGGAGAAGCCGAATGTTGAGGGGAGACATCAACTGCCACTCAGTCGGATGCCTGTTTCGTACACCCCATCGGAGAGGATAAGGTAACCCTGGAGAATCCTGAAAAGCCCCACTGGTCAATTGGCATTGGGAAGAAAAAGATAGCTGGGATGAGAGAACCAGAGGAGTCACCCTCAGCCGTGGCAACCGAAAACCGGGACTAGAAGCCCTTGCTGACCAGGGGGGACTAACCAAAGCACCACTGAGGGAGGATTATCTGAAGAGACATATAACCCAATTGGTGATGGAAACTTTGGAAAATCTCAACATCCGAGGGGAGTCAGAACAACAACCAAAGAGCGCTGAAAGGGCAGCAGTCGCGGATGATGCCATGGGAGGCACCCCCTTTCTGGAGCATGCCTATCAAGTAGACGGCACAGCAGCAGTGGGAGAAGACCCAGCAAACCCTTCCACCCAGGCAGCATGCACACCGGCGCCCATTCCCAACCAGCCCCAAGTCCCGCAACTGGAAAGAGAAACTCCCTCCCTTGGGGTGAAGTTTGATGGGAATCTGCAGCAATTAGGATTCTTTGTGGCACACGTGCTCACCTACATGCAAGAATATAGGTGTGATTTCCAAACCCAAGGATCCCAAGTGTGAGTTGTGACCCTAGCCCTAGAGAGTGCCGCTGCCAGATGGATGGTGACCCTGCATAATGCTGATGCACCAGAACTGTGGAATTTCGACCATTTCATGATGGCCCTGCAACGATGGTTTGAGGACCCACTAGCAGATCGCAAAGCATGTGACCACATTAAGGTGGTGAGACAGGGGTGATGGCCAGTAGCAGAGTATACTAAAGAATTCCGGGACCTGGCCAGAAAATATTTTGGTGAGTTGTTTCAAGGACAGGCTGAGTGATGATCTATAAAATGCCTGCGTGGCCTGAGGTGCACCGAACCACCTACATGAGTGATACATCACCGCCGAAGAAGCTGAGATCAATATAGCCAGAAACCAGTACCAAGTGGAGTGAGCACGGAAGAAATCCCCACCACAATGGAAGCAAGAGCCCCTCAAACCACAAACCGCATTCTCTCCGAAATCCTCAGCCTATTTCAAATATGGAAAAGAGGGGCACCGAGCTGCAGAGTGTTGTTTGCAAACACCCGCCTGGAACCACCCACCGGGGGAGAACCCTGAAAAACCGGGCTGGCGTGGGTAGGAGGCTGCCCTGAGGAGGAGGGAGACCATAGAATTTCCATCCCCCCCATTTTGGGGAGGAAACCCTGGCATCTCAGCAGGAGGAATCACATTCATTCAGAAGCGATCCAGAAGATGAATCACTGGTAAGCAAACCAATTAAACCGCTTACCCTCCCCTTAAGACTATTTATCCCAAACCAGGACAGGGAGATAAATATCTCTGCTCTAGTGGACTCAGGGTGCACCCGTTGTTTGATCAGCCCAACCTTGTAGGGAAGATGGGGGTTAACATAAGAAAGCTGAAACACCCCATTGCCTTCTGCCAACTACATGGGTCAATAGCAGGAGGGGAACCAGCTTCTTTTGCCACTGAACCTCTACATATAGGCATCAGAAGCCACAAGGAAATGCTTACATTTATAGTGGCACCTGGCATGGAATGGCCGTTAGTTCTGGGCCTTGCATGGCTGAAAAAATGGAACCCCAAAATCAATTGGAAACAAGGCATCATAAAATTTCAGATGCATGTGACTTTTGCTGGGAATCCACATAAAGGAACTGAGGGGGCAGAGAACCAAGAAACAGTCATGCCTGGTCGTGCCATGCAAACTGAGGGCATACCTATAGAATACAAGGATTTGGCTGAAGTTTTTAGCGAAAAAGCCTCAGATGAGCTCCCTCCCCACCACGCCACCAACTGTGTGATAGAAATCTTACCAGGTGCTAAACTCCCTAAACCCAAGATGTACAGCATGTCACTGAGGGAGTTGTAAGAGCTGAGAACATTTATTGAGAAAAACCTAGCAAGGGGTTATACTTAATGGTAACATGCTATGATTCCAAATTAGCTGGACATTTTGGGTTTGTGAAAACTTTACACCTAGTTAAAAGACAATTTTGGTGGCCATCACTAAAAAAGGACATAGAAAGCTATGTAGCTAACTGCCCCATTTGTGCAGCAGCAAAAAGAGTCAGGGGAAAACCCCAGGACTATTGCAGAAGGTAGCTGAGCCTTCAGCGCCATGGAGAGATATTGCTATGGATTTCATTGTAGAATTGCCAAGCAGTGAGGGAAATGCTGTTATTTGGATTGTGACAGACCTGTTTTCAAAACAGGCATATTTTATACCTTGCCAAACAATCCCAACTGCTAAAAGTTTAGCCAAATTATTCCTAATACACATTTATCAACTTCATGGAGCTCCACAAAGGATCATCTCTGACAGAGGGGTTCAATTCACCTCCAAATTTTGGAAGGCATTTTTGGATTTACTTGGTACTGGCCAGGGATTGAGCTCCTCACACCACCCATCTACTAATGGAAATTCTGAAATTTTGAACTAGAACAATATCTAAGATGTTTTATTAATTTTCAGCAGGATAACTGGATCGAACTTTTGCCTTTTGCTGAAGTTGCGTTTAATAATGCTGTACATTCAAGCACTGGTTTTACCTCTTTTAGAGTAGTGACAGGCCAGGATTTCAGTCCCATGCCTGAACTACCCACAGAAGAACCCACCATCTCCTCACTTAAGGAGGTTAAGGATAATTTGCAAAACACATGGCCAGTGGTTAGATTAGCCTTAAAGGAAGCTAGAGAGGCTTTTAAAATTCAAGCTGACAAGAAAAGGATGGAACCCAAACCTTTAAATGTTGGAGACAGAGTATACTTATCTACAAAACTCCTGAAATCATTACAACCATCGAAGAAACTAGGGCCAAAGTTCATTGGACCTTTCCCCATCACTAGAGTCATCAATCCAGTAGCAGTTGAACTATTCCTTCCAAAGACACTCAGGCAAGTCCACCCAGTATTCCATATTAGTTTACTCAAGTGAGAAGTAATCTCATCCCTCAGACCACCTGCATCTACACCACCTGTTCCCATCATGATTGAAGGTGAACAACACTTTGAAATCAAGGAAATCCTTGACTCTAGGACGCACAAAGGGAAAATCCAATACTTAGTCACTTGGAAACATTTATCATCAGCACACAACGAATGGGTCACTAAACACCATGTTAGGGCCCCAACCTTACTGAGAAAATTTCACTCCCAATACCCTAACAAATTTTGTTAATATGCTACCATGAAATTTTGTTTTTTTGTATTTGTAAAAACAAATATTTATTTTTTTTACAGGTGGACCCTTTCATTTTCTAAGGAGGGTAGCATGTCAGATCCCTAAGAGTGATACTGCCAATCAATTGGGAGAAGGGGAGGCTTTGTTTCGATTTACTAGCATTGCCTGTGTCAACAGATATTTTACAACCTACAGTATATCCTAGCGCCAAAGAACCCCGAGATCCTCTTATCATGGAGGAATGATAGCCATGTGGGTTGTTTCACTTTAAAGGATAATGGTGTGAATACATGTTTGTTCGGGTTCTCAGGGAAACTAGTAAAGAAAACATCTTCATACTTGTGTATTGGCTTAAATCTGCATTCTGACTTAAAGGGAGGGGTCTCTACTGCTTTAATCCTACTTGTCTTGCCTATGGGTATTCAGATCTTGCTTTAACTTGATTGCTATCACTTCTGCTTAATAAAAGGATCCTTTTGAACGACCACATTTCAAGAGTCTTTACTTTCTTAAGTTGAAAGGAGAAGCAATCCTTACAGACACCTTCCCACCAAAAGTGGTACCTATTTATCTACTCACATTTACCTGTTTGCAAACTGCTAGGTTGGCAGGAGCTGGGGCAAGATCAAGAGTTCACCCTATTGCATGGTGCTTGTGTCTCAAATCTGGACTGATGGCTTTCCAGCCAACAAGGCCAGCATCTTTAGTGAGCCACTAAACCATGCCATTACATAATGTATATGTAAATATATATTAATATACATGGGAAACAGTTGTTGTACATGAAAGAATTACAATACTTAATAAATAATCATAAAATGAGTAATAACTAACTTGAACATTGCATAGAAGTTTACTGGCAAATGTTGAAATTGTTCATGTCCTTTTTGTAGTTTATGGAAGAATTAATATTCAACCAAAATGTACAAAAAAGGTAGTTTTATTTTCATATAATTTATGTAGCTCTAATGAAAAAGTGTTCTTTGGCTTTGCTATAAAAAATGCCTCTGTGCATTTTATTGCTGATCCAAACCAGTTCATAAGTCAATAAGATTACCTGCTTGGTCCACATACATTGAGGAAGAAATAGAAGCAAATATTTGTTACTTACCCTCCTTTGTCTCATTTCCCTGGTCCTTCTCTGACCTCTTACTATCATCCTTTAATTCACCTGGAAGTTAGAAATCATATGAAGGAGAATGTTAAGTGATATAAAATGTCTCTCAACCAACTTAAATAAAAGCATACAGCAGAGTAAATGAAGTATATATAATTGTTTTGTTACTGGTGTGAACAAACCTATATACACACTGATGTACACACACTGGTGTTACTGGTGGACACATACACCTACATACACACATATACATACATGCGCACAAATGTAGCATCACTCATTCTGAGGCTTAATTCACAAATTGAGGCAAGAGAAAGCAATCTATTTGCTTGCAATTTTCAATCCTATCTGTCAACCCAAAATTTTGATAACATGTTTTTTTCTGCTACTCATATATATTGATAGCAATACAATGATACACAGAATATAAACATAGACATGTACACACATGGACAATTGACAAAGAGAGAAAGAGATAGTGGGGACAATATACCTAAAAGGATTATTGATTTTAAGAAATACTGTGGCAGCTGCAAAATTACTTTCAGTATTTTTGAGGTGATAACAATGACTTCCATTAAAAGTCACAGATATGCTCTGCTAGAAACTAATATTCTCATATTGAGTTGTTTATGTAATATTGTTAAATGGCCAGCATCTATTGGTTATACAATATTAAGTGATCCCTTACTGATTAGGGCAGCCCATATGATTATGGCTGCAAATAAAATAAAATAACCAATGAAATAAGTAAGCATGCAAGGAAATTCTGCTTCCTCTGTAAAAAAGAACAATGTTCAGCACACCCTGAATGATAACAGTGTTACTAGTATCGAAGTGAGAAAGTATCCTGTCTCAGTTCTCTAAATTATTCAAGTTATGCCATTATGTCAAATCCGTGTATCTGCCATTCTTCGGTGGAAGCAGGGCCGGATTTTCCTATAGGCTAACTAGGCTTCAGCCTAGGGCCTCAAGATCAAGAGGGGGCCTCAAGATCAAGAGGGGCCTACATTCAAATTGTTAGCAAAATTAAAATTACACTTGCACTATAGGTGAAAGGGCCTCATAAGTGGAATAGCCTAGGGCCTCTTTTCATCTAAATCCGGCCCTGGGTGGAAGAAGCGTGGGGGATTGGGATTGGGATTTATCACATTTAGTTCTCTTTCCTATGTATCCTAAGTATCCTATTTTTTGCTGGGTCTTTTTGTATAACCTTTAACCTGACTTATAACTGTTGCCTGGCTCCTAAAATTCCTGGAGAATTCTCATCTCTTGGGGAATGAGAGGGGAGGGAGGGCCATGTGGATTGCAATGCCGGAGGATGCCCTGAGAAGCTCTCCTTATCTGGTACAATAACATCTTCACACTTGCAGATTTGTGGGAATCCACATCGGACAGTGGGGAGGGGTTCCTAATTTTCTTTATCCTGGATTGTATGCCCTGAGGGACACTGGAGCCTGCTTTGAATCTTGACTTGCTTTCATCCCTTTTCAATAAAAGGTTCCTTTTAAAATGCAAAGTCTTCAAGAGTCTATACTTTCTTGTAGGGGGGGAGAGGCTGGTCCTTACATAAAGCAGGCTCTGCAGTAGTGGTCAACCCAGAGAGGAATTTTTCTCTCTCTTAATTTTTACTCTACCAAGGGGACCTTGCAACAATATCTGAACAAAGCAGTGAGCAAAGGGAAGTAGAATGCTGGGGAGAAACCTCGACAACTACCCAGCCAGACACTGGCTCCATCAAAGCTATCCTCGAAAGCTCCACGAAGCCCCGATGGTCAATCAGCATAGGAAAGAGCTGGGATGGAAGAGCCAAAGGGATGACCCTTACTCATGGTAGCCATAAGCCCAGGGATCAAGGAACCACTGGCAGATGATCAATTGAAGCGGTACATCAACCATCTTGTGATGGAAGCCCTGGAAAATTTCAACATTCGAGGCAAACCTGGTTGCCAACGAAGGAGAGTGGGTGGACCAGCAACCAAGGAAGCTCGAGCCATCACCCTTGACCCAACCACAGCTGACCAAGCAGCAAACCAAGCCAGCAGAGCAGCAGCTGCACCAGATATTCAATCTTCTGCCGTTCCAGCCCAGGTGATCATCCCTGGCCAACCCAGGGGCCCACAGCGAGAGAAGAAGCCTCCCCTTGGGGGTAAAATTCTATGGAGAATTTTACTGCCTGCATGAATGGTACCTGGTGGCAGAGGAGGCAGAGATTGACATGACCTGAAACAAGTACCACACTGGCAGGGCGTGGAGAAGATCCCCACCCCAAGGGAAGTGAGAGCCATCCAAACTCCAAACCGCCATAACACCAAGGCCATCAGGTTGCTTTAAGTGTGGGAAGGAGGGGCACCGCACAGCAGAGTGCCATTTGAAAACCCCCACCAGAAAGCCTGATCGCACGTCAGGGGGAAGCCTCCAAAAAGCACCCCCTGAGGAAAAGAAACTGCGCTGAGAAGCTGAGAGGTTGTGGAGTTCCATTCCCCTCCAAAATCAGAGGAAGGATCTCTGGCACCCCGAGAGGACCTGAGCCAGTCTGAAAGTGATCCGGAAGACGGCCCACTGGTAAGTGACCCAATCGAACTGCTCACCCTATCCCTAAGACTTTTTATCCCCAGCTGAAGGAAAGGGGAGGAAGTAGCAGCATTGCTAGACTCAGGGTGCAACTGATGCCTAACCAACCCTGGTAGGGAGATTGGGAATTTATCTAAGGGAAATAAAAACCCCCATCACTTTTTGCCATCTAGATAGGACTGTAGCAGGGGGAAGCCAGCCATTTTTGCCACAGAACCATTACAAATGAAGCTGGGGATCTTAGTGAGACCCTCACATTCATATTAGCCCCAGGAATGGAATGGCCACTAGTCCTAGGGCTCACTTGGTTACAGAAGTGGAACCCTAAAATAAATTGGAAGAGAGGAACCATAAAATTCCAGGGACATGTAACCTTTGCAAACATCCCAGAGGAAAAAGAGGAAGGAAAGCCAAACAGGGAAACAGCAATGACTGGCCACCCTGCTGAGTCCACTACCCTATTTTACCCAAAATAAGACATCCCCTGATAAAAAGCCCAATAAGCTTTTGAGCACATGACAATAAGGTCAAGCGCTTATTTTAGGGTTCCAAAAAAATATAAGACAGGAAATTATTTTCAGGGAAACATGGTGTGTCTATCTATCTATCTATCTATCTATCTATCTATCTATCTATCTATCTACCTACCTACCTACCTACCTACCTACCTACCTACCTATCTATCTATCTATCTATATGATATTTACATATGATAAATATATATGATATTTATATTATACATTGTTATACAATGAAAGACACTGATGTTACCACATTCTTCTTGTCTGCTACCCATAGAATTGTTGCATCTATTTCTTGAATTCCCAGTTGTAGTTCAAAAAGTTCTAGAGGGCACTATGTTGGGGTTCTCCATTAAAATTTTGCTTTTCTAAAACTGCTAAAATCGGTAATTCAATTTATAAGGTAATAGCATACTATCAATAATATCAATAGTATTAATATATTTAATCACTACAGTAGTATGTTACTTTAAAGTTAACACAAATATCCAGCTAAGTGATTTATCTATCAGTCTTAGAGCACTTAAGTGAGAAGTGAATTTGCCAGTAAATTCGCAGTTCCATGAAAGGACAGATGCACTTACCATTCTGTACATGCTGTTTTGACTCTCCTCCTGTTGGTTTTGACTCTGCCCCTTTTTCCATCTCAGTTACATTTTTTCCTTGAGAAGTTCCATGTTTGTTACCACCAGTTGGGTGACCATTTATGTTACTTTTATTAATTTCGGTGCTTTTACCATCTCCCGAGAAACCCTCTTTATTCCCTTGTTTACTTTTCTCTGACTTGGTGGTAATGTTACCCTCAGCTGCCTTTTTTCCTTCATTTCCTTCTGTTTTCTTGTCATCTGTACCCTGTTGAGAATTCTCCTCTGCTTCTTTCTTTGCTTTTTCTTCTGCATCCTCAGCAAAAATAAAAGACAAAACAATGGGGAGGGGGGAGGGGAGCATAAAAATCATTAATGGAATTATCAAAATGTTAAATATCCATTGTTTTTAGTTTCTGGAAATGACACAAAGCCTAAAAAAATTAAGAAATGCTACTTTCATTTAGCTGAAGTCTACTGCTTGCTTTCTTAAAACTAAGTTGGCATGTCCTATTTTTGCTCATCATAAATGAAGGTATATGAACTATTAATCATCACAGTTACATTTTGCATGCCATTCATCTCTTTGCAATATGTATAAGCAACTTAGACATATATAATTTAGGAGGGATATATATCAGTTTTAGTTATTTATGAAAAATAAGTGAAGCTTCTACATCTAGTGGTTGAATATTAGATGTTGAAGAAATAAGCCAGGAAGAACTATTGCAGACATTTATCTATCCAGGAAACTAACCATAATTAAAACTAACAAAACCAAAATAATTCAAATAAAAATAAATGGAATAACATGAATGCAATTCTGTCAAAGTCCTCAAGAGTCCTACAGCCATGTAGCTGGGATCATCTAATATTTTATTAGATGCCTAATGCCTGAAGCAGTGGTGAAATCTGAACTGGTTTACTTCCAGTTTGCTGGCTGCACATGCACGCTGCATGCGTGCATGCGCAGTGCCCACCACACACACCAAATGCGAGGTGTGCGCACATGCACAGTGCACACCAAGAGTAGAAAGGTAATCTGCATATAGCCTTCCAAATTTACAAGGTCAGTAAAATGAGGACCCAGATTATTCAATATGCTGGCTCTGTAAACCACTTAGAGAGGGCTTTAAAGCATTGTGAAGTGGTATATAAATCTAAGTGCAGAATGCTGTTCCATAAGGAAGATGCTGCAACAGGGAAATTATATCAGCTGGAACCCATTAGATGATACTGCTTCAAGAAAGAGACCAGATCATGTCCATCCTCCAACCTCCTTTCCTTCCGTCGCGAGCTGAAGACGTGGCTCTTTTGTAAGCCACCTTGAATCCCTCGGGAGAAAGGCGGCATATAAATCGCAATAATAAATAAATAAATAAATAAATAAATAAATAAATAAATAAATAAATAAATAAATAAATAAATCCTGTCAGATGCATGTGATAATTGGAGATAGAAAGTACCATAAGTAATCTGGTTCTATACTTCATAGGGAAAACCAGTACCTGAAATTGTACTGGGAGAAGCACAGGGTGCCAGTGTAGTCATGGAGCAAAGATGTTACAGGGGAATACCACAGTATCCCATCCCTTTCCCAAATAAACATGGAAAGGACTGCAATTATAATAAATCATTGATTCAATGTCCAGGAATTTGCTTATAAAAATAAATTTAAAAATAAAAACAAACATTTTAATAGAAAAATATTACAGTATGCCTCATTTTCATTGGTGAATTGTTAAGATTCCATTGTTAAGATTCAGAATGACATTGTATTTGTAATTAATCTGGATTAAATATTGCATCCTCAACTCAATTGCCAAAAGAGATAATGCCCATAAATGCTGAGATCTTAATAATAATAAATAATAAATGCTAAGATCCTGAGGATCCAAACCTTAAAATTAAGGTGAAATAAAAATTAAGGTGAAACAACATCAAAAGTAAGAAGCTGGAATTTAAAAAGCTTTGGGGAATTATAAAAAGTTTTGTTGGAAATCCCAAACTATACAAAACAAAACAGGCGAGCGAAAAGCAGTGGGAAGCAGGCTGCTGTTGATTTCAAAATAAGATAGGCAAGTGAAAAGCAATGGGAAGCAGGTTGCTGCTGATTTTGTCTGCTGCTACCTTTTAAACTGACGCTGCTGCTACCTTCAAAACCACTCTTTCATTACTGGGTTTTTTTTTTCTGTTTTAAAAAACAAACTTTATTAGATTTAAAAAATAATAAAATTGTATAAAACATTCACAACCTTAAAATACAATCAACAGTATCAACAAACAACAAACAAACTAAGTATATATAATGTATATAAGTATAAATATATACAAAAACTTATTTCCTTTTTTTCCTTAATGATGGTGTATAATTATTACTTTTAATTTCTTACTAAATTTTGACTTTACCTTCTTTTCCATTGATTTATCCACTCATACCAACTGTCCCATATCTTAAAATACTGTGAGTCTTCCTTATCTTTCAATTTCAATGTTAGTCTATCTATTTCTGCACATGTATGAATTTTTTGAATTATTTGCTGCTCCACTGGCAATTGATCTGTTTTCCAGACTTGTGCTAGAGCTAACCTGTTTTAACTAAAATTAACTGATTATTGATTATTGATTTATTGTTTAATATAATTAATTGATAATGATTGCTTACTTTAGCATTAATTGTCTAGCTGATTGATTGTCTAGTAGATTACTATTTTAGATTAATTGTTTAGAGTGACTTTATTTGCTGATTCATTGTGTAAGTGATTAATTAATTACTGTTATTAATGCAGCTTTAATTAGCTAATTGCCTATCGTATTTAATAGTTATTGTTATTGCTTACCAGCAAATAAGAGATTAAGTAATCCATACCAAAAAATAACAGATTGTACATCAACAAAACAAATCCACCATGCCAAGCAAAAACTCCAAAAAAGCCACTACCAACGCCCCCTAAAAAAAACATATCTCTACTAACAACCTAGACAATTCTAGTACATGCTTTAAGTGTTCTGCAACTATCAATAATAATGAAGATATCATTAAATGCCATACATGTGACAATTACGCCCACCACACCTGCTTAAAATTAACCAAACAAATAGCAAATCTCATACAAGCATCAGACATTTCCTTGTCTATGTCCATCATGTTTACCTAAGCTAGACAATTAAAATGGCAACCAAAATGTCCCTTCTACATCCATTGACTCCATGGATGCACACTTAGTAACACATTTAGAAACTAATTTACAAGCAAGTTTACAAGCAAGTATACAAGCATGTCTAACATCTCTTGAAAAAAAAAATAGAACAGATAAATAAATACCTAAATACTCAAAATACTACCTCAATTCAACAACCACTACCACAACCAAAACCTCAACCACAACCACAAGTAACCATCAATCCAGCAAATAATACCAACCCACCAAATAATATATCCTTACTTATTAAAGATGCCACTGAACAGAAACATCTAAATGCTATTTTATTTGGCCTGAATGACAACAACGAATTTAATGATATCACTAAGGTTTGCAACATTATAAGAAACTCCCATAAATCAAACATCTTCCCTGATGACATTATCGAAATTTCAAGGCCCTTAGTTCAAGTACAACAATGGCTCGGTGGCTCCATGATTTTGCAGAATTGTTTGCAAAAATGTGTCCATCAAATGCATATTCATCCATACGATAAATTCCATCACCAAAACCAACATCAACAAACTTTGCTCGCGTCCTGACTTATCCATATTGCAAAGAATCCGTTCCCGTGAATTCTGACCAGAACTTTAAAAATGTCAATACCAAGGAGATACTTTGCCATCAATTACCATGCCAACTGTATCGAAAGAAAGTCCCACAACCCACATCCTAACACCGAATCCTCCTCCATCCAACACCCTAACATCCAAAACTAGGCACGCACGCCCCTAAATTCCTCTACAACAACTACTACTGACCTTAAATGCAAGCTACTTAATGCAAGAAGCCTCATAAATAAAATACCTGAATTTCTCTTCTTACTAAATATGCTATATTCGACATTATATTTGTCTGTGAAATGGGGCTGAATATATCCCTCCCTGACTCCATTACCACAGTAAGAGACTATCGTGTTTACCAATCTGATTGTGAAATCCATAGAGGAGATGGTGGTGCTATTTTCTACAAAAAGTCCTTACATCTAAAAAATATTCAAGTTGTATAGAATGTTTTCGGGAATGTCTTTCTTGGTTTTTTGTAGATTTATAATCTAACTCATTATCAACAATTGCATTAAAATCTCCAATTATGCAAATATCTTCATATTCATATTCTAATATTTTCCAGTGTAATTTTGCATACAATTCTTCTTGATTTTCATTTGGAGCATATATACCCACAAGTAATATTTTTTTATAGTTCATTACAATTTCTACCATTAATACTCTTTCTTCCTCATCCTCATATATTTGTTTGGATTATATTGTCTGTTTGATGTAAAATGCTACTCCTCTTTTGCTTTGACTAGCCAAAGTTGTATACAATGTCCGTAGTTTTATTCGCTCCAAAAAAAATTTGTGTTGTTTTCTAATATGCACTTCTTGTAAACATATAATTTCTAATTTTAACTTCTCTAATTTACTGAATATTTTTCTTCTCTTTATTGCCAAGTTTAATCCATTTATATTCAATGATATTATTTTAATTTCTTTTTCCATTTCTTATTTATTTATTTGCTTTGTTGATCTAGTCATTCTTATCTCCCTTAGTTCCTTAACTTCTTTCGCCCTTGCTCCTTCTCTTAACACTCTCTCTTCTTGTTCTTTCATTGTCTCTCTTGGCTGTTCTTTCTTCTCCTCCTGTTGTTCATCCCCTTTTTCTTCCCTCAACCTTCCTTCCTCTTGGACGTCTATGTATTGTTTATAAAATAACTCTGCTTTCTCTACTGAATCTACTCTGTATCTTTGTTCTTCCCAGTTCACCAACATTCCTTCTGGAATCAACCATCTAAAATTTATTCCTCTCTTTATCAAACATTTCATGAGAAATTGATATTCTTTTCTCAAATCTCTCACTCTACTTGGAATTTGTTTCAGTGCCACTACTTGTCTCCCTTTATGCTTTATCGTTATGTTTCTCATCAATTGCAATATCTCTGTTCTCAGTGTTTTCTTGGTGAATCTGACATGAATTTGTACTCTGCACTCTGTATATCTCGTCAATTCCACTTAATATCCCTTCCTTACTTTCTCCTATTGCTTCTGCTAGTATCTCTGCAATTTTCTCTGCTAAATTTTCTCCCTTTTCTTCTTCAATGTTTTG